GTTCACTGGCTCACTTTGGCAAAATGGCCTACAGGGTACTTTCGCTAAGCTGGCCAACCACACCGATCACTCATAGTGCTGTACGTGGAGCTATACGCTGCCGTGCAGAGTCGGGTTTCGATTGCTGCATGATCGGGAGCGGTAAATGGCTCGCTACGCGGTATACTTATAGCAGCGCTGCCGCCTTTGGTGCTGGACGCAATTCGAGAACCGTACTGAAAAAGCACCGCAAGAGATGGAGACCTACGTGAAGAAAAACTATGGACACCTCGCAAACAGTTGTGTTGCGTCGTCGTCGTGATGACCTGCGACATGGTACTTAGCGAGACTTGCCGCAGAGAAGGCTACTTCCACTGGACGGTGCGAGCATCACACGGCCAAGCCTTTCGCTTTGCTGAGCAATACCTAGCAGAATAGCTCCGCCTCTAGGCGAGGCCTAGTAGACCTTCTTCAGTCGGCCGGGTCGGATGTGGGGAAGTCGCTGTTCACGTCGGCGAGGATGGGCACGTCTCACATATGCGGTACCTTTACCGGCCGCGTGGAGATGTGTGTCGCGTTGAACGTTCTACTTTATATCGTCGCCATCATAGTTTTCCTGCTTCTCTCGCTCGCACTAACTATTGCCGTGGCTGTCATGACCAGCCCACCCCACCTTGCCAACAGGGCTGCTCTCTTCTGCCAGAGGGTCGGCCTCGCGTTTGCTCTCGTGGGCTTCGCGTTTACGATGGGCGCGTATGAGATCGGGCAACAGCTGCAGCAAACTCTGTGTGGCCGGGTCAACATCAGGCTTGCAGTGATCGGGGGTTGTGTCACTGCGGGAGTTTCCATCATCTCTCTAGCCATGGACGTGTACAATTCGTACCGCGATCATCGACTGTCTGCTCAACAAGACAAAGACGAGCGTACGGATGGAGTCGAGGACCACGTAGCCAGTAGGCTAGGCGATAACGCTCCTGGTATACAAGATCAGCGCTTCCATGAGCCACGAGGGTGCTCACGCTAGTGTACATGCCGTCGCGCGCCAGCGGATTGGGTGCGTGTTTTTCGTCCAGCGGCCGTGGGCCTCTGGCGCGCCCAAAATCAAGCCAAAGACCGTGCTGGGCTAGTTGTTGAACTACGTTTCTGTATTATAAACAGTATAACTATGTGATTGGTTGAGCTGAGGTCGGGCTACCCAGGTAAGCTCCGCGTCGTTTAGCACAAGAAGAGACGAGGGGCCATGCAAAGCCAAAATGTACTGCAAACATGCGACGAAACGGCTATTCTTAGTCCTGTATAGATTACCCCAGTGCTTGAATCATGATTGCGATGCACAACAAGTGTACTGTAAAGAAGTGACAATAATGGTCAAAAGCGGCGCAACGCCAATGTCATCAACAAACCGTACCATTTCAAACAAATGTGCGCCACATTCTGCTCGAAGGGCTCGTCTTAGGCAGATTCAAGTCAACGTCGGCGGTCGGAATCCACTGCTCCGTGCAAGAAATGCGCAAAGCAGCCTGTGCAAAGCACGGAGGCCGAGATCTACTCCCTGTGCCAGCGGCGTCTTTTGGATACCTCCTTGTCAGCGTTGCAAGGGCTGTTGGATTCGAGGCGCGGATTACTTGCAGGTCGCTGGTAAACACCAAGGTCACCTTCTACCACCGCATCATTCGGCGCATAGTCTTTTCCCTAATACACCCCACTCGATGTCAATTTTATGCTAGTCAAATTGTTCAGAAACGGCTGCATCTCTTTTTAGCGGATAGAGGCACATGTTATGCTGTAATAATTGATCAGGAGCAAGTACATGACAATGGACACAGAAACGGGCCCACAGCTTGTTCGTTAAGAAACTGCTCTTGATTCTTAGACCATCCATTTTCTGCATGGCCCAAAGCTAACTGTTACGAGAGAGGAATAATTGGTGCAGAGTGTAAACATATCTTTCTTTTTTACTTTTTACTTTTTATTTAACGTCTATGGTGT